ATTCCACCATTCATCCCTCCTCCTCCAAAACCCCCACCATGCGCTCCTCCACTAAATCCACCACCACCCATTCCACCATTCATCCCTTTTCCTCCACCACCACCACGCCCTCCTCCACCAAATCCATCACCACCCATTCCACCATTCATCCCTCCTCCTCCAAAACCCCCACCATGCGCTCCTCCACCAAATCTACCACCACCCATTCCACCACTCATCCCTCCTCCTCCAAAACCCCCACCATGCGCTCCTCCACCAAATCCACCACCACCCATACCACCACTCATCCCTCGTCCTCCACCACCACCACGCGCTCCTCCACCAAATCCACCACCACCCATTCCACCACTCATCCCTCCTCCTCCACCACCACCATGGCCCGCAGCCCCTCCCATTTGACCGCCCAACCTACCACCCATCCCGCCACTCATCCCACCTCCCCGACCACCACCAGCCCCTCCCTGACCACAACTAGCCCCTCCCTTTCCACCCTGTCCACCACCTCCAAAACTCCATTGGCTTTGCCAACTTCTGTCCCCTCCTCCACCACCCATTCCCGTATTCCCCTGGCTAGCACCCTGACCCCATTTGCTCTGCCAACTGCTTCCCTCTCCTCCTTGCCCTCCGCCGCCACCACCCCAGTTTCCCGTGCTCCAAGAAGATTTCTTATAATTGCTCATCATTCTTTTTCTTGGACGTTTGTGTTCTTCATGTTCTACATTCTTCTTTTTGACTGCTGAAGCTTTGAGAGTTGTATTCGTTTTTATTCCATCAGTTGCTGGAATAGAATAGAATAGAATTGATTAATGGAATAGAATAGATTGGAATAGAACAGATTGGAATATAATAGATTAGAATATATAAAGTAGAATAAAACAGAATAGCAGAGTGAATAGAATGGAAGGGAAAAAACCCGATTAGAATAGGATAAAATGGAATACACTAGAATCAAAATGAACACTAGAATAAAAAAGATGATAATAAAGTAAAGGATGAGTAGAAAAGAATATAATGGTATACTGGGTGGGGCAAAAAAAGTACGACTGTTTGATTTACTATGACTTAAAAAGTAAAACAGCTATCACACTTAAATAAGTCACCGTATAATGTACGATGTTTAACTTAAAATTTGATATATGTATTGTACCTTTTCATGCAATATTGACTGAGACTAGGGTACCTGCAAGGTAGCGATTGCTGCGGGCATTAAAAGCAAATAGAACTACAATAAACAGCACAAATTATGTCAAGCACAGTGATTACTCGCAGCGACTAGTGAGCCTTGAATGGAACTGAGAAGAAGCAATATATATATTGAAGTAGCAAAGACCAAGGGTTAAAGGGCAATCAGAGGTGACAGATATTAAACATGTGCGTCTCATTGACATACAGGTAAATTAAGATCAGATTTCATATCAAATCTGTTTACTGCTAGGCGCATTTATTGGGGACCGGCTAAACGGAGAGTTATAAAGTGGAGAGTTATCTCGGAGAGTTATGATTTCGGAGAGTTATGTTCGAACCACGCCCAAACCACGCCCACTTTGTGCAATGACCACACCCAATTTCGAAACTCTCCCGACGTTTCCTTGAACTAACATGAGAGAGTTATGTTTGACGTAACTCTCTCTCGTTAACATTATGAAGATGTTAGAGAGTTATCATTTTTTATAACTCACTGCGTTCACGATTGTGGCAATGAAGAGAGTTATGTCATTAAATTATTCTGAATTTTCTTTTTTCTCAAGCCTCAGCTTTAATATTCCACGCTAGTAGAAACTAGTAGTGCTTTAGTACTTACCAAGTGAAGCGAGTACGAGTAAATAAATTATTATACATGTTCACTTGGATTACCTACAAAGCCCAACATTCAGTACAGCTCTCGTATTAGATAGAACCAGAAAACCTTTCCAATGTAATGCCCTATATTGGCTGATATGGGAAATATTTGCAAAACCTGAATTTCTGAAAGATTCAATTTTCGCAATTTTTTCAATTTTCTTGCAACTATGCTTACCGTATTTACTGCCAAATACACGTCAAAACATGCTTCTGGGGGTACTTTGACCTTTCTGCGGCAAGCATCTCATTGTTTTGACCGAGTGAAGTTGTACTATTTCCTGATTGGACGCACGCTATTGACACGCTACAAACTGAAATACCAAAATATAAGATGAAAATCTGAAGAAACAAGCTATACTATTTAAAGGTTTTCTCAAAACCTTTTGCCACAATCGTGAACGCGGAAAGTTATACAAAATGATAACTCTCTAACATTTTCATAATGTTAACGAAAGAAAGTTACGTCAAACATAACTCTCTCATGTTACTTCAAGGAAACGTCGGGAGAGTTACGAAATTGGGTGTGGTCATTGGGGAAAGTGGGCGTGGTTTGGGCGTGGTTCGAACATAACTCTCCGAAATCATAACTCTCCGAGATAACTCTCCGGTTGGTAACTCTCCCTTTAGTCATACCCATTTATTGCGACCAGCGAGCGAGCTGGGAGCATCCTAATGAACTTTAATGAACTTTATTATAGGATTACACAAATTACTGGTAAACCAGTATTTTACATTGTGGTAATCTTTGCGTAGAAAATTTAAATATACCGCTGAGTTTGGATTAGCCCCGGCTCAAGATTCACCGATTCACCTCGGCTTGCATTCCGTATTTGGAACATATTTCCATATTTGGAAGACCGCATGAAACGGTATTTCCGCCGCTGTTATGCCGCCCAATGTTTTATTTACTCATCGATACTGATGCAATTTTATACATGTACCTTAACTTTTGTTCATCAAATTGTACATCAAATGAAGCTTAACTAAGCATCTACTAACTGTTGTAAGTCTGTTATTGAAGACAGATTTAAATAATCAAAAAGATTAAATGCTGTGCATGAGGATGTTGTTATGCATGTATACAAAGAAACGTCTGTTGTTTGAAAGTCATGTGCCGGGCTTTAATATTTATCTTTAAATCGCGCTTTTTCTAAAAACTCAGAATGAAATAAATGAAACAAAATATAAATTTTATAGAAACAAGCTAACTCATGTAATTAGAAAAGCGAAAAATATGTACTTTGACAAAAAATTTGAGACCTGTAAAAGTGACATTAAAAAGACATGGGATACAATAAAAGAATTAATCAGGAAGAAAAACACAAACCACAACTACCAACATCTTTTCTACACAATAAAAAGTATACAAACAACCCTACAGAAATAGCTAACAATTTCAATGAATTCTCCAGCAATATTGGAACAAATCTGGCAAAACAATTTGACAAACATTCAAGTAATTTTAAACAATATTTAGAAGGGAACCATGGAAATTCAATGTTTTTAACCGATATAGAAACATCAGAAGTATTTGAATTAATAAACCAACTAAAACCAAACAAGAGTCACGGTTATGATGGGATTCATCCAAAAGTAATTAAAGAAATAGCACCTCAAATAAGTAGCGTGCTTGGCCACATATTTAATTTGACATTCGAAACAGGGATAATTCCTAATGATCTTAAGATATCTCTGATTACACCAATATTTAAAGCTGGAAATAAAGAAGAATTCAATAATTATCGACCAATATCAGTTATTCCATGTTTTTCAAACATCCTAGAAAAACTAATGTACAAAAGAGCTATTAACTATATTGAAAAAAAAACATATTTTACATAATAATCAATATGGATTTAGACGCAATCGATCAACCACAATGGCAATTATCCACTTAACTGAAAAAATCAAAAGAGCAATTGAAAACAAAGAATTTACGATGGGATATTTTTGGACTTGTTAAAAGCATTTGATACAGTAAATCATAAAATTTTAGTACAAAAATTAGAATCATATGGCATAAGGGGAATGCCTTATAACTGGTTTCAAAACTATAAAGTTTCTTCGTTCACTGCAACCAGGTATATCAATCATGTTTCGCTCGCTACTCTGGTTTAAATAAATGATTACAAAGCCCAGTCGAATTGTAATCAAGACCCAACGTTTCGACACTCCAGTCTAGTGTCTTCATCAGGGGTGATCTAAAACTGCGATCGTGGCTTCTTAAATCCCCAAGGGATGACGTCACCTGCCAAGAAGATGCATATATTCTTCTGGCAAATAGGCGCCGTCATCCCTATTCAAAGCATGATGACTCATATTTATATGCCACGCTTCTAGGCAAAGTCTTTGACCATAGCGATTGTGTGTGGTAATTACTTTAGAGTTTTCCCACGCAATCTCGTGTTTGGTGTAACATACATGTTCGGCTAAAGCTGATTTTCCCTTGTCTAAAGTTGAAACAGCCTTTTGATGTTCTTTTAGCCGTGTACCAAACTGGCGTTTAGACTACATATGAAAAGTTATACAGCGGTGATGGACTATCTCCGCGTTTCTATGGTTTACCGAAAATCCATAAACCGGAAATTCCATTGAGACCTATTGTGTCCTTTGTGAATTCTCCTACATATGGAGTTTCAAGTTTTTTGGCGAAAATTTTGTCCCCTGTGGTGAGAAATACCGAAAACACTGTAAAAAATTCCTGTCATTTTGCAGAATTTGTAAGAGGTAAAACTCTTAAAGCAGATCAAGTGTTGGTATCATTTGATATCGTTTCCTTTCCCAGTTGATCTTGCCATCAAGGTTGCGGCAAAAAGACTAAGACAGGATGCCACTTTGTTACAAAGAACATCCTTGCCTGTAGAAGATATTATTGATCTTCTGTCTTTTTGTCTCAACGCCACATACTTTGTGTTTGAGGGCTGTTATTATCAACAGGTTTTTGGAACAGCGATGGGGTCACCAGTTTCGGCAGTAATTGCTAATTTAGTAATGGAAGATGTCGAACAAAGAGCTTTAGCCTCTGTTCCGGTGTCCCTATCGTTTTGGAAACGTTTCGTCGATGATGTCATCTCTGCGGTTTCTACAAATGAGATCGATATTCTGCTGCAACATTTAAATTCTATTGAGCCGTCCATCCAATTCACGGTAGAACGTGAAATAAATGGACATTTAGCTTTTTTAGATTTGAATGTGCACAGAACTGTCGAAGGGAAGTTAGAGACTGATGTTTATCGCAAATCCACACACACAGACAAATACTTGTCATACGACTCTCATCACCCAGTAAGCCATAAAAGATCCGTAGCAAAAACTTTCCTTCAAAGAGCTGAATCGTTGCCGTCAAACAGTGATTCTCAAGCTAATGAACGTGAATATGTTCTAAATGTTTTAGGGGGAAACAATTACCCAAAGCGTTTTCTTAATGATTGCCTGAGACCACCTATTTGTAGGAACCAAAATAACTCCGAGGGTGATACCTCTGTTAAGGGTTTTGCAATAGTTCCATACATTCAAGGTGTCACAGAACCAATCAAGAGAATCTTAAGTAATTGTAATATTAAGGTTGCCTTAAAACTCTATTTGACCTTAGGCCATATTTTCGCAAAGCCAAAAGATCCTGTTGAAAAAAATCAGAAGACTCATGCTATATATTCTATACCATGCGGTGACTGCGATAAAGAGTATTTGGGTCAGTCTAAACGCCAGTTTGGTACACGGCTAAAAGAACATCCAAAGGCTGTTTCAACTTTAGACAAGGGAAAATCAGCTTTAGCCGAACATGTATGTTACACCAAACACGAGATTGCGTGGGAAAACTCTAAAGTAATTACCTCACACAATCGCTATGGTCAAAGACTTTGCCTAGAAGCGTGGCATATTAATATGAGTCATCATGCTTTGAATAGGGATGATGGCACCTATTTGCCAGAGGAA